CACGCATGTATGACTTACATTGCGTGTCATTGAAGCACACGTCATTAAAAAAGATGACACACATTCGTGTGGCGTGATTGTATTTTGTAAATTATTGTTATATATATATATATATTGTATATTGACAAATAATCAAACTAAATCACATTTAATGCCTCATAATACTAAATATATATATCATATTATATATAAGCAATCCATTTGCATACAATATTTCACATTAAGTTACAAACATAATATCCATCACATATGGCTATCTTAAAACAAAAAACCAAGAATGTTCTCAGATTATCACAAGAATATACTAACAGATTATAAGATCTTAGCACATTAATTTACTAAAATGGTGCTAAACGATATGTGCATAGATCAACCTGAGCAAGGTCACCAACAGCATAGTCTCGGAACATCATAGATTAACCTCTGGGTATGTAGCAATTAGAGGGAATACAACATTTCCAACACCACAACCAACCTGATTACCAAGGTCACATTAGTTCTATAATATATAGAAACCTTACATGAGAATTTAAGAACCTTAGACAATAAGGGAACTACTTAACACACACTATAAGGAACAATAAAGTCAAGTTCATATAGGTAGCATATATGTTTTCGCCATGACATTAACTGCAAACACGCTTAGGAACAAGACCTTTAAGATTTCTTGTTTTGCAAGTATGGTTCGAATTTTATATTTTAATTATTTTGATCAAATCGAAGCACCATAAGGCAACAAGCTGATTAAGTAGCTGCTGTAAATCAAGAAGCATCTTCTCCAAATCTCGAACAGCATCGTGGCGCTCTTGAATTTCAAACATGGTGCTCATTATCTGCAAACGAACCAAAAATTAATTTACCATAACCAATTTCTTCTAGTCACAAACATTCCCTGTTTGAGATGGTATTAGAAGAGATTACCGAAACCAAGCAGTCAAATAAAAGTTCAATTTAAAAAGCTCTAAAATAGTATATATATATATATATATATCCGGCCATTCCAATAAAGTCTACAAAACAAAAGGAAGGGTGTAGGGATGAAAGACAAGTATTATCTACTATTAGTATAAAGGAAGAAATAAAGAATATTAAGTCAAACCTGACCCCGTCCCTGCTCTTGAATTGCTTTCTCGAATATTTTTCACTATCTCCAGTTGCAATCAATCTTTTAATTGTTGTACGATGTTCAACAATCAGACATATGCTAAATAGGACAGAGAGTCACTGATAACATAGCAAGGGAAGTATACCTCTTCATCTGGTCTTGTGCCCGTCACTGGGAATCATAATAACCGGTACAACTAATATTAGCTATCAAGCACTATTATAGCAACTAATAGTATCAGATGAACATCTTAACCTGTGAAAATACGTAGCTCAACAACCTCCCGATACTTTTTCTGGATTCTCTCCCTAAGAATCTACAATGGCAGGTATATAGACCCTAGTAAGATTAAGAAAATGAGAGTAAAATACATCTTAAAATATCTAAATCTGACTAACCTGAAACTCATCTAGTTTATCTTTCAGCTTCTTTTTCACGGCACTGCAGCAAAAATATGGAACAAAAATTCAAGTCAGGGGACAAGTACAAATTATTTACCAAGGAACACAAATTCGCATAGTCTGAAGCCGAAAGGAAAAAAACAATTACTGACTTTTCGAGTGGGTACAAGTAGTGAGGCAATGGACATTGAAACGCAAGGTTCCGAGGATGGTACAAATCAGAAAGAGACAATTACTATCAATAACATGAAAAATAGTACGCCTCAAGAGCAAGTAACGACCACTGGGGAGATACATCACATGACTGAACAAATGGAAATAGGAATGAAAAATACCAATAATATTTTTAATGCTCAAGAGAGTAACGATCCTGGTCCTCATGAGACACCAATAATGAAATGATACAATGAAACGATCACTTGAAACTGCAAAAGAATGAGAAATTATGAATTTGTCAACAATTGCAGAGATCTTACAAGAAATGAAAGACCCAACGTCATAAGTCTCTTAGAGACGAAAGCTATCGTAAGGGCTGGTGAAATGTTAAAGAAATTAAACTTTGATGAGCACTTTGAAGTCTCTGCTGAAGGGATGCATGGATGTATCGTCGTGTTATGGAACTCGAATGAAATAAAAGTCAGAATTTGTCAAAATACTGATCAATTTGTGGACTGCGAAGTTCAAGAAGATGATAAAGTTGAGTAACTACTTTTGCCTATGTTCAACCTATACAAATAAAAGCATGTCGTGGCTTATGATGTGAGACTTCAACGACATTGCGTCCATAGAGGAAAGAGAATGATCTAATACATATTACATTGATCGCATAATTCAGTTTAGAGAAAGGTGGAACAGATGGATGCAGGCTGGATAGGCGCTAAATCCACTTGGATTAGACGTATCCAGGGGTAATTGACTCTTCAAGAGAGACTAGACAGAACACTCCACAATGCTGAAAATTTGGATATTTTTTCGAACATTCATATGGTTAATCTTCCAAGACTCTATTCGGACCACAATCCAATCATGGTAAATACTACTTTAAACATACAAATGGAAAAAGAGAAACACCCTTTTAGATTTGAGGCACTATGGCTCACCCACTGAAAGTTTTATACTGTTTTTAACAAGGCTTGAAAAAGCAAGAAGGATTCGATTGTGGAATCTATTGAAGAAACCAGTAAAGAGCTAAGGAATTGGAAGGTCTCAACTTTTGAAAATATTTTTAGACAGAAACGTCAGTTGTAAAATATATTAAAAGGTATCCAAAGAGTCCTAGATTACATTAACTCCAAGCGTTTACAAATCTCGTGAATCATTTAAATGAAGAGTACCAAAAAAACTCAAGCAGGAAGAGATACTTTGGCTCCAGAAATGAAATATCTAAATCTCAAAATCAACAGCCATTGAAGAAGAAAAAAATCAAATAGAGAAAATAACGAGTGGTAACCTTCGACAAGCACGAGCAGGAAAGAGCTTGACGAGTTCATCAGTGGACATATCCAAGAGAGCATCGAGATCGACACCTCTGAAACTGAACTTCTTGAACGTTCTCTTCTTCGTACCTGTTGAGTTAATCGATTGACGGAATCGGCCAAGAGGGGGGTGAATTGACAATAAAAATTTTGGTAGAAGCTTTTGCAGAAAATTGAAAGAATTTGCACAGCGATTTAGAGTGGTTTGACTTTCTCAACCAAAGTCTACGTCCACTACCTTAGCTATCCAAACTAAGGATTTTCCACAAATTCACTAATTTGTCTTTCTTTTGAGGACAAAGAGTAACCTTATAAACCCTCAAGAATTATACCCCAAATTCTTGAGAACACTCTCTCCCAAAGAGAACAATACAAATTTGTAAACTTACAAGGAAATCCTCACAAGGTATATTGTTTGCACAATTCTGGAACAAAGAAAAGAACACTCAAGAATGAATACAATTGAGCACAATAAGTGTTCTTGAAAGCAAAATGAATATTGAATGAAAAATAGGCTTGAAATGCTCAAACTTGAGGTTTGATGTTTTCTCTTTGATTCTCTCTTGATTCTAGTTGCTTGATGTTTCTTGTTATTGATCAATGGCTTCTAAGCTTGCTTAAATACACCTTGAATCACTTCTGAACATTGGGGATGATTAGAGAAGATAATATAGCCGTTTTAGTGTGAAAACAATTAATAAAACAACTTGGAGCGTGGGGGAATCGGTACCCCCTATGGGGAATCGGATCCCTAACTGTAAAATTCAAATATTTCGACCATTACACAGGGGGGGAATCGGTACCCCCTTGGGGGGGAATAGGTTCCCTCTGAGCAATCTGAATTTTTGGCTTTGAAATGGTTCGAAATACTTTGTAAAATTATTTTAAAATTGTTTTAAGATTAAAACTTAATTTTACACTTGAGTAAGGATTAAAAATGATATTTGAAAGATTTAGAATAATGTTTTGATATTCGAATAATTATATCGAATATACTTAGAAAACCTTTTTGCACAATCTTAAAATTCATTTAACTTAATTTGTTATATCGAAATATCAAAATGTTTTCAACAGTACCCCTGGTGCGGCGTGAACTTTGTTGTTGAGGGGAAGAAGCGGGAAAGGGTGAAAATAATGGGGGGGAATTAAAATACGACTTTTACAGATGACACACAATTAAAAGTGTACTTGTGTTTTTGCAAATTTTTTGGATTATGACTATTAAATATGACACACATTATTGTAAGTCATAAATCGTTCAGATTTTAAAAAACATGACATTTTTTTATGACACACCTATTTTGCAAGTCATAAATTAGCGTGTGTCATCGTTCTTGTGTCATTAAAGGTATATTTTCTTGTAGTATCAGATGTTTAAATATTGCCGTTTGAATTGAGTAAATTGGGTTAGGATAGTCACCCCTGCTCAGTAATACCGATCCGGCTTAATCGATTAATATATCGAATACGGATGATTATAAAAAAAAGAACAACAATGCATGATATATATCAATAATGTGTGAAATACTCAACCTAAAGCATTAACGATGAAAGTTTTGACCATTTTAATATCCTCTCAACTAGACAAAAATTAAATAAAATTTGAATAATAAAAGAATAATTTATCAATTCCACTACATACTTTATTGGCATCTCAAAATTAAACATAACTAACATATATAAAATAATAATTCTTTCCATTTGACTAAGAAAAATAATTATCTTATTTCATTACCCTAATGATGAGAAGAATATAAAAATGAATTTGATTAATGAATGCCTTCAAATTATTCTAACAGTAAAGAAAATAATAATTAATTTGGTGAATTGAAATATATATTTAGCATAACACGGTAGCCAAAGATCATATAAATATTGCACAAAGACATCCCAAAAGCCGTCAACAAGAAATATTCAGAATCGTCAAAGCTTTGGTTTCAGAATTCAGACAGTTTTTGTTTTCTTTTCTCATCAGCCAAACAACAGAATCTCAGTTTTTTTTCCAGGAAAGTGTAACAGATGGATAGCAAGGGAATCATATGCTTTATTGTGGGCCTTTTGGGGCTTATATCATCTGGTTTTGGTTTTGCTGCTGAAATTACAAGGGTTAAGGTAAAATAAAACATCATATTCGTACATTTTAAGGTTTTTACTTAAAATTAGGGTAAACTACATCAGATACCACTTAGCTTTAGATGTTGTATCGTTTATACCACTAAACTTTCAAATTTTACAATTATGACATTGAAATTTGATTTTCATTTCAATTATAACACTGAACCGTTAAATTGTTAACGACACGATGACATGGCTTACGGCTGTCAGCGTAGACACCTCATCAAAATAACATCGTTTTGATCCGACTGTTAACGACTTAATGGTCCATTGTTTTAATTGAAACAAAAATCAAAGTACAGTGCTATAATTGGTAGAAATGCTTAAAGTTCGTTGGTTTCTGATGTAGTTTACCTATAAAATTATTGTATTGTGTTTGTTTTAAATTCTATGTTTTTTTTATAGCCTTCACAAGTTAAGCTAGACATTTTCAGACAATGTGAATATCCTCAGAGTCATGCGCTAGTTTTTAGCTTAGTTTCGGCAGCAACGCTTTTGATCGCTCAAATAATTATAAATGCTGCCACTCAGTGTTTTTGCTGCAAAAGAAGAACCGCTGAATCTCACATGAGCAAATCTCTTTGCTTCTACATTATTTCTTGGTAATTCTCAACTACATTACTTGTTCTTCAATTTTTTTTAACATTTTCATGTTTATAATTTTTTGAGTAAAGTACACAAATGGTCCATTGACTATAAGATATTACTTTGTTGAGTCTCTCGACTATTAAAAATTACAAAATGGTCATTCGACTATTCATTATGTTCCAAACTTGTCCTTTTTCATTAAAATTAACGGCAGTCTGAACTGGACGTTAACCTACTGATTGATATATGATAAAATATGTTAACGACGATATTTATCATGTTTTAATCCGCCGACATATTTGATGCAGGATCACATTTATGATAGCTATCGGTCTACTACTAACTGGGGCTAAGCTGAATGAAAGACACGATGATGTGGTTGTGAGAAATGGCGCCTACTACTGCTATGTTGTCAAACCAGGAGTGTTTGTCGTCGGAGCAATCATGGCCGCTTTAAGTTCGATCTTCGGAGTCTTCTATTATCAAACCATAAACTCAAAAGGGGAGGGCACGAACAATGTACCAGTGGTTCTGAACCAAGGTGGTAGAGCCATGGCACAACCTCAGTTCCCCCGCAGAATCCTGGTTTTGCACATGGACATGCTTATAACAAGCCTCAATTTAGTTGATTGGACTTAATTTTTTTGCTTGACAAGATAAATTTCCTGGTTGTTCGTCCGAGTGCAAATAGTCTTAGATATATGTTTGGTTGTTTCATTGGCATGGAATATTTGAATTGTGAAAGTTACTTCCTTTTTTCTGTTGAGAGATTATAATGGGTGATTTTTGTATAGTGTATGAGACATTGCTTTGCTTGTGCATGCATTCCTTGCATTCGGTTTTCCACTTTGTTCTTTTTTAATAAATTAAATTTGTCCTTTTCTCTCCCCCTACAACATTATTTGAAGTTGAGTATTCATTGGTTCTTCACTCTTCAAGTTGTTTGTCTTAGTAAGAAATTGTTAGAGAAAGAGTTAATCTGAAAATAAAATAAATAATAATAAATATAAATATTATTATAAAAATTAAGGATGAAGAATGAGTTTACTTTATCTAAGATTGTTAGAAGTATAACAATTTGAGACTATAATTACAATTGAGACAATAAAATAAAAAATTAAACTTCTTAAATAATAATAACAAATCAATATAGAAAGAAATATGTATCTAATAGATCAATCGATTGGAAACAAGTTGACGTATGTCACTACACAGTTTCCTTAAGACAAATTTTTGGCCACTCCTTGGTGCTCGAGATGTTGTCATCTGTCTCCAAGATACAATAACTAGATGATCAACATACAATACAACTGTAGAGATCACGAACTATACCTTCGCCTTTATCTATCACAAGAAAACTAAAGGAGAAAAGCTTGTAAGCTTGTGAACATGTAAACATTTTTGAAACTTATGTTTAACCTAGAAGGTTAGCACAATATTTATAGAGGATTCTCAAAAGAAAAAATTAACATAAAGCAATCATTATGGAACTACAATATTATATTCTAATCGAATATAAGTTTGTAATAATATATTCTTATTTTAATTTAATATAAATTCATAAATAATATATTTGTATTTAATCAAGTATAAATTTATAAATAATATATTTCTATTTCAACCGAATATAAATTCGTAAATAACATATTCAAATTTTAATTGAATATAAGTCCTTAAATAATAGAACATTATCATATTGATATTCAAATTTGAAAGAACCCACATAATATATTTTTTAATTAGAATACACAAATAAACATGTCATAATTAAGGAAAAATCAATTATCATATTCATCGATGAATTCAACACATTTTTTCAACAATCCCTCACATGAATAACATTAATGATTTTATCAAAGACATTTTGACTCAATATGGTGATAGATTATACGAACGATAGTTGCATAGGATAAGTAGGTATCCTCCTTTGAACCTTCCCTTGTGACAATATATTTACTTTATTGGCTAACCAATAGACGTGGTTTCCTTGAACTATTCTAACTTTATGCAAAATATGATACACTTTACACAACTACCACTCTGACAAGAGTTTTAGTTGTCATGGGCATGTTCATATAGTCGCGAACATTGCCCAGTTCTGCACAAGTTTGAAATAACTATGCCAAATAATCTCCTAAAAGCGGCACACTTCACTCTGACATAGGTAACTTATGTTATTTGGCTCATCGAAGCACACAATGGTCTTTACAAATTTTGCTTAAACTATACCATTTTGTTCACTATTTGCATCAAAAGAAAGAACTTAGGATAAGCTACCCCACAGTGATTGCACATGGTTTATGTAATTAGGTTGTCCCTTTGAACCTAGATCTTGAGATCTCTAGTCAACTACGTAGTGTTTTCCTTCACATAACCTAATTTAGTCTTATTCCTTTCGTTGTTTTCTCAAACTTGATTTTGATTTAACCCTTTGGTTGGTAGATCTATATGGTATCCTTTAATCTTACAAAATCAATAAAGATAACTCCATTTGAGATTAGTTGTTTAATGATATCATATTGACAAAGTATAGGTCTCGATTTACCATTACTCATGAAATTCTACACTAGTCACAATATATGCATGCTATGGGCACAAGCTTCAACCATTCAAGAATATCCTCCAAGAAATCTAAAGTCATTTAGCTTATTCTCCGGACTTGTCTAAAGCTATAAACTCAAATTTCATTGTGGATCTAGTTATAATCGTTTTCTTGAAGATTTCCATGACACAAATCTTTTTCCTAATGTGAAACATATTTACTTAATGAGTATGTCAACAAAATAGGATTTCATTTCCTAATGCACATTTTCCACACTCATTTTCATCATGATAATATCTCTATTTCAACCTCTTGTTGAGCATCTAGATTTACAAGGGAATATATCTTCAAAGAATGAGGCATTCTTTGATTCCAATATCATGTTCTTGTGAACCTCATGATTCTTTGGTTTGTACACAAGAAATCGATATACATTGTTATGTTCTGAATAAGTAAAGAGAATACAATCCATCATTTAGGACCTATTTTCATTTGCTCTGGTAATGAGGTCATTACCTTGGCAGGACACCCCAACATTTTCAAGTGTTTTTTATGAAGGTTTTCGACCTTTCCATAACTCATATGGTGTCTTTCGTTTTCCTTCTGGGAATCTCATTTAAAATGGTAATTAGTTAACAGAACAACTTCTCCCTCCCCCACATGTTCTATGATAAACCAAAACTTCATAACATTGCATTCATCATTTCCTTTAAGATTTGATTCTTCCACTTTGCTACTCCATTTATTTTAGGATAGTATAGTGGTATCACTTCATGAATAATATCATGTTTTGCACAATGTTTCAACATATTTTGTAACCCTTTTAACCTGGCCTAGAAGAAATAGGTCGGATCCATATAATCCATGTTGTAAATTGTCCATCAAGAAAACTATTTTTGATTTAAAACTCAAAAACTATTATTTGAATTAAAGAAATCATTCACAAGTTAAAACTTCATAATTTTATTTTAAATAAATATTTGAGGAAAATCCAATATAAATAATAAATATTCAAAACATGTATAAACAATTCTCAAAAATTAATTGTAATGATCAAAGTCCAAAATTATAAAAACAATAATAATAATAATCCCCAAAACAATAATATGAATAATAATTGAAATAAGAAATTCAAATAACGTTCATATTGTATGTAATAGTTTTATCAAAGAACAATGGTCTCTTCACGTATCGATTCGCCTAAATACAAGTATCTGAAAAAGAAACTATAAGGGTGTAAGATATTACGCTTAGTGTGTGTCTAAAGTGCATCAGTCACAAATCTCACATAACAAGTCAACATAATTTGATTCAACATAAATATTCATAGTCAGATTAATATGCAAATGAATAAGCACCTATATGCCTTACACCATCCGAAGAACAGATTCCCTAGAACCACTCTAACTACAACACACCATCCGAAGTAGGGCCACCAGAAAGGCAGAGGTCACTAAATCTGAAGTAACATTCACCCTGTCGAGTGAATGCACTCAACATCCCCTATCAATCTCATCCTAATGTGTCATGGCATCGAAATATACATATATGAATTCTGATCCGATTCAAATGTAAGTATATTTACATAATTCCAAAGCCAAATGCATAGCATAAATCCAAAACTGGTAAATAACACGCATCATAAAACATAGTTATCTGAATTGTATTTAAGACAACAATATCATAGAGCAATCATGTTTAAAATCAACTGATAAGATGCATATTAACATATATTATATGAAATTTTCCTCATATTTGAATAACTAAAATTGCTTAAATCATGGATTTGATTATATTTCGTATTTTTTGGATTAGTTGAAGATTTGGATAAAACAAGTTCAAAATCTAATGATTAGCATGATATTCACAAAATCCCCAAATTAAGGAAGAAAAATCAGAATTCAATAAGTTGGCAAGACCATAAGAGGTTTTCACATAAGGCGTGAGCACGGCTTATTCATCCTGAGCTATCGCAGAAGAAGTCTTCAGTTAAGGCATGGGCGTGCCTTACCAGTCTGTATAACCCTAAATTAGGGTTACCAATTTACAAGGGAAAAAGAGTTTAATGACGGCTGGAAGACTCTTCTGAATTATTCTTATCTTTAGAGAAGGATGAGAGCATTTAAAACTCCTATTTTTGTGGGATTTTCTTTAAGAGAAACTTCCTTATCTAGAGTAGAAAAATCCTTATAAAAGGGGAGCTAGGGCATGAAGTTTTACATCAAGTTTTTCATTAAGTTTTCTTTAAGTTTTTTGTTCTTTCAATTATGAGTGGCTAAATACTTTTGTTCCAACTGGAGGATAATTGAAGTTTTGGTTCTTCAAGGATTGTGAGATCTAAATAATTTTCATTGTTCTTTTAATTCTTTGCTATTTATATATCTTTTGTTTTTATTAAGAATTATTGTCTTGATTGATTGTGCAAAGGGCTCATTGTTTAATTATCAGGTTGATAAATTGTCATTTAGAACTTTAAATCCGTAATTGTTTAAACGTTCTAATATTATTGGTAAAGTAACATGGTTGATTATGATTATGATACGAAGGTATGTAACCTAGTCTAAATGAATCGAGTTTGTGTATTTGTTGGCTAGAATTGGTGGTCCCTCTAGTGATTAATGTTGTTGGTGGATTAAATATTAAGGGTTTGTCTAGTTGTTCATTAACTAGGGAAATAATCAAAGAGATCCTCTTGATTATCAAGAAATTAAGGAGAGACAGGTTGTTAGAGCTTCTCAAAAACCATAACCAATTTAGTGAAGAGTAGAAGATTTTATCATTGCATCTATGATCAATTCTCTTAACCAATTTGAATTATACCTTTGGTTGGATATTTGCTTGATATTGATTTCTCTAAATTCTTAGTTGATTATAATTGCTTTTTCTTTTTCTTTTTCTCAATTTTAAAACCCCTTTTCTTTGCTTTAATTTTCATTAAAATAAGTCTACCCAATCATTATGGATTCAACGCTACTACAATTTATATTTCTAAATGCAAGTATTATTATTTGTTGGATTCAACACCCACCAAATTTTTGGCATCGTTACCGGGGATTGGTGTCATTTAGACATATTTTAATGCCCCGTTCTTCTCGTGCAGGTGAACTCCAATACGATCCTGAAATCGAGAAGACCGCTCGCAGGTTAAGAAAATAAACTAACTTGTGCAACAAACAAGCTTCTTATTCTTCATCCCCTAAATCAAAATCTGCACTCAACTTGGCTGATTCATCCAACGATTCTGAAATAGAAGGAACAATGGCCAACGAAGAAAGAACTCTAAGAGAATTGGTTGCACCAAATATGAATCAACAACCGCTCTGTATTGACTACCCAGCTTCGAGGTAGCTTTTGAATTAAAATCTGGTTTGATTCATTTGTTTCCTACTTTTCATGGACATGAGAATAAAGATCCTCATAAGCATTTGAAGGAATTCCACATGGTATGTTCAAGTATAAGACTGCAAGGAGTGATTGAAGAGCAATAAAATTGCTTGCTTTTCCATTCTCGCTATCCGATAGAGCTAAAGATGGCTCTTCTATTTACCCCCTGGTTCTGTGACTACTTGGGCCGATATGGTGAGGATGTTTCTTTTTAAATTTTTCCCTGCTTCAAGAGCCGTTGGCATTCGAAGGGAGATATGTGGAATAAAACAAAAAGATACTGAGACCCTTCATGAGTATTGGGAACGATTCAAACGACTGTGTGCTAGCTGCCCTCAACATGGGATTTCTGAGCAACTTCTCATCCAATATTTCTATGAAGGACTTCTACCCATAGAGAGGAAGATGATGGATGCAGTCAATGGAGGTTACATAGTGCATAAGACTCCTCACGGTGCTAGGGAATTGATCTACATCATGGTCACCAATTCACAACAATTTTGCTTTAGGCAAGACACATCTTCAATAAGGGTGAATGAGGTAGGTTCGTCCTCCATTGAACATCAATTATCGCATATCACCTCCCTTGTTCAACAACTAGTTGTAGGAAAAATGCAGCAAGTGAAAGTTTGTGGGATATGTGTTGTGATCGGTCACCCAACTGACATGTGCCATACACTTCAAGATGATTCTTATGAGTATGCCAATGCAGTTGGAAGGTTTCCCGATCCTCCACAAAGGAAATATGATCCTTACTTAAATACCTATAATTCAGGATGGAGAGATCATCCTAACCTTAGCTATGGACCAATACCATCGTAATTCCAGTGTTTTCCACTTGAGCAGTCTTCTTCAAAGCCAGGTATATCTCTAGAAGAAATTGTCAAATCACTTGCAACTAATACACAACAATTTCAGCAAGAGACAAGAACAAGCATACAAAATTTGGAGAATCAAATGAGTCAATTGGCATCCTCCGTGAGTCGGTTAGAATCCCAAGGTAAGTTACCTTCACAAACCATTGTTAATCCAAAGCAAAATGTTAATGCAATCACATTGAGAAGTGGAAAGGAGTTGAAGGAACCTAGTTCATTGGCACATGGGAGAGCCTTAGAGGAAGAAACTAAAAAGGAGTTATTGATACTCAAACTCATAAAGACCAACCTAAAGGACTCAAAAGCGAAAAATGAAGGAATTTGTCATATAACCTCCTTTTCCCTCTAGATTCGCTAAATCCAAGAAAGAAGCAGAAGAGAAAGAAATTCTTAAGACATTTCACAAGATTGAGGTAAATATTCCTTTACTTGATGCAATTAAACAAGTACCTCGATATGCTAAAGTTCTTAAGGAATTGTGCACCAACAAGAGAAAGCTCAAGGGTAATGAAAATGTAAGTATCGGGGAGAATATTTTAGTTGTCCTCCAGAAAAAACTACCCCCGAGTGCAAAGATCTAAATATATTTACTCTCCCTTGTAAACTCGGTAATGTTAGGATTGAGAGACCAATGTTAGATCTAGGAGCCTTAATAAATATCATGTCTCTTTCTATTTACTCATCTCTGAATGTTGGTCATTTAAAAGAAACAGGAGTGATTCTTCAACTTGCGGATAGATCTAATGTATATCTTGAGGGAGTTTTAGAGGATATTTTGGTGCAAGTTAATGAATTGGTTTTTCCTACAGATTTTTACGTGCTTGATATGCAAGAAAATGATTCTTCTAAATCAACATCAATTTTGTTAGGAAGACCATTTTTGAAAACAGCTAGGACAAAAATTGATGTAGATGATGGTACACTTACCATGGAATTTGATGGTGAAATTATTAAATTCAATATTTATGATGCCATGAGATGTCCTAGTGATGTGTCATCTATTTTTGTCATGGATTTTATTGACCCTTTAGCACAGGAAACTTTTGACCAAAATGAAGATGACGAGTTGAAAGATACACTCAACATGAATTTTACTTCTGAAGGATTTAGGGAATCATGAAAAAGTCTGTGTTGGATCTTGATTTGCAAGATACAATCCAAGAACTAGAATCAATCAAACCCATGAGGTATGATGTATCTTATATTGAGTCACCTCTTTCTCACACCAAGATTCTTCCTTCTCTTGTGCAGGCACAAAAATTAGAAACGAAGCCTTTTCCAAATCATCTTAAGCATGTATATTTAGGAGAAGAGGAAACTATTCTTGTGATCATTCCCAACAAACTCTCTCGTTTGGAAGAAGAAAATTTGATTCGAATGCTTAGAGAGTACAAGGAAGCTATTGGGTGGAGAAAAAATTTCTCTATTGATGAAATACAAAGTTTGGATACATGTCAAATATTTAAGGTTGATGGTCATCGTTTCAAACCTTTTTATAAAGGTTCTCTGGTGCATACTGTTGGTCAAACCATTTTGGAGTACCAACTTAGGATGATTAAGAAGCTACAATGTCTAGCCAAAGACGTTAAAGAAAGGCGCTCTTGGGAGGCAACCCAATTTTTCCTTTTTCAATTTATTTTTCGTTGTTTTTATTTTCAATTTTATTTTTATTTTTCCTTGATTTTTCGGAGTACAATTAATCTTGTTTTCCTCTTTAGGTCAGAAGATGAATTTTTGTAACCCGCAGGCACGCCTTACAAAAGCAGAATTATTTCTAAAGTCTCTCACTATCCAGAAGATGTTTTTGTATAAGACGTGCCCACGTCTAAACTCAACACCACTTCTGGTTCAAGAAGAAAGATTCAAAGAAACTTTTTAAATATAATTGTGTCTTATCTTTTCTTTATTTTATGTGCTCCTTCAGAAGAATACGAGCTACCAGCCGTCCTCTCCACTCAACCCGACCCACGTCTTCGCTCAGTCTGAGAATCAACCTAGCCAACGCACATCGCCTTTACCCCAACTCGTGACAGATATCGTGGTTGATGCTCAACATTTTCAGGGGAGTTTTCTACTCTTATTCTTTTATGGTTTTTGAGCATCTATTTTTATACATTGTGGACAATGTATGGATTCAGTGTGGGGGAGAGTATTTCATACATGGTTTTGCTTTGAACATAATTTTTCTTCATTTTTTTTGAAAAAAAACAAGTATAAAAATAGAGAATCAAAATTTAGTAGATAAAATTAGCAAATTAAGGATTGAAATCGATTTGTTGAAGGAAACTTGTTGTGTTGAGGATAAAAACAAGCTGATGATGAATATTAAAAAATCGCAAAACCAAGAGAAATTGTATAAAGAAGTATGCTACAAAATACGGGTTAATTGCATTATATTAATGTGGTTTAGGTTTAATTTTCATGATGTTAGTTGTTGTAGTATTTTATGTCTTATATTTTGTGTGAAAGTTGTAACAACTTTTAACAATAGAATACATATTGCAATCGTATTGATTGTAATCCAAGTAATTTTCAATTAATTATAACAATACAAAACTGTTTTATTTTTTTGTAAATAGTTACAAAATAAAAATACAAGTTTAGTAGCCAAAATACAACTTTACAATATGATATAAGGTACTAACCTAATATTTGAAAACATACAAGACTATATTAAACAGGTAAAAAGACCAATTTTTTGTGGTGGCAATCCATGAGCATAAGTTGAAAATGGAAATTGCTATGTATAAAAAAAAGGACAGCTATAAAAAATCCATGATCTAAAAATGTTTATCTTTTTTGTTAGAGCTGGTCATATGTTCATTGATTTTTTCTTTTTCTTGTTTTTGTTTCTTTACTCTAATGTTTTTACCGTGTATGTTAAGGACAATCAAACAATTAAAATATATTAAATTATTAAATTCTTGTAACATCTAATGTTACAAGCATATTTCTCAAATCACATAAATTACACATTAAAATGTTTACCTTTTAGTGGCTGGTTGCTCGTGTTGGTTTTGTTTTTGGGATATTTTTTTTATCTTTTGTTGTTGGTTGATAAGACCTTATTGTAGGTTGTGATCTTATTGCAAACTCACTCCTTATTGTAGGATTGATTCTACTTGATTAAAACAAATTATGTTAACTCTTCATTATTGTAATGGTAATTGGAGTGATTAACATCACTATATCATGAACAAATAAATAAGAAAAAGCACCTGCATTTATAATTTCTAGACCATTTTTCAAATTAACATATACACTTAACACCTCAAACAGATCCATCTAGATACTCGATCGAAAACAATTGTTATAGGCAAACTCTGCTAATGACATATATTGCTCCCAAGACCCAAGAACCTAAATAACATGCTTAGGTTGACCATGTATTTGAGTATGATAAAACGTACTGAAATTAAGTCTTGAACCCAAAGGCTATTGTAAGCTCTTCCACAATCTAAAAAATGAGGATCGCGATTGAAGTAATTGACACAAGAACTCCATGTAGTTGAACTATCTCTGTGATAAACAATTCAGCTAACTTCATCAACGAATAGGTCGTACGTACGGGAGGAAAAAACGCACTCAAAGGAAACCCCGAAATAAAAATCTATTGACATGCTCCCACTTGCACTCTGGAATACTAATCAACTTGAGCAAACCCGAAGGACACTGATGCTCAACCTTCACACGCTGACAAAATAAGCATCAACCTTCAAACTTGACAATATCATGCTTCATCCTTAGCCACCAATACAAATCACGAAGATCCCCCTATACATTCTCATATAACCTAGATGCATCGCAAAAGTACCATTATGCGCTTCCAAAAAATGTCATCTCTCAAATCAGCGTCCCCTGGAAAAAACAATTGACCTCGAAAACATAAATCATCCTCTGCATCCAGTGAAAAACTACTCTCAGAACCATCCTGAACCAACTGAATCTTAAATCCCAAAAAACTAATCAGACGGTTCCAACTCACGAATATGTTATGACGACATAGATCAAACTTGAATCTCAACAACCAAAGCAATATCTTTAACAATATTTAATTACATAAATAAAGCTCTCAACTCTTCCTTCAACTTATGACTCAACGCATCAGCAACTACGTTTTCTTTCCCAGATGATACTCAATCGAACAATCATATTCCTTTAACAACTTAATACACCGCCCATGTCTCAAATTCAACTCCTTCTAAGTTAGGAAATACTTGAGACTTGTGATCAATATAAAAAATATACTTCTCACCATACAGATAGAGTTAGGAAACACTTGAGACTTGTGATCAATATAAATAATTTATTTTGAGTATAAATAATATACTCCAAATCGTGTGTCAGATAATTAAGCTCATGCAGCCTCAACTGCCTTGATGCATAAGCAACTACTCTACTGTCTTGCATCAACACACAACCCAAACTAGTAATCAATGCATCATTATACACTATGAAATCCTTCATCGACTCTGAAGAACCAGCATAGGAGCCTCAGTTAGCACAAACTTTAACTTCTCAAAACAATGTTATCTTTCATCCATCTACTCAAACTTTGCATTCTTCTATAACAATTTTATCAGAGAAGCAACTATCCAGGAAAAAAACTTTAATGAAGCAATGATAAAACCCAACCAAACTAAGGAAACTACGAACTTCAGTAGCGCTCTTGGGAAACTTCCAGTCAACAATCACCTTAACCTTGTTTAGTTCAACCCGAATACCATCAACCAAAACCACGTGACCTAGAAATACCACCTCCAAAAGCCAAAACTCACATTTCGATAACTTCACATGCAATCAATTCTTTAGTAACCCTTGCAAAATAGCATGGAGATGCAAATCTTGCTCTTCCTCAGTTGATAAATACACCAAAATATCATCGAAGAACACAACCACGAACCATCTAAGTTCAAACAAAAAACATTATTCATTAGATTCATAATAGCGATAGGCGCATTAGTCAATCAATCTAAAGGGAATCACCAAGAACTTATAATGAGTGTAACACCTCCTGAAAGCAATGTTTGTTACATCTGGTTCTAAATCATTCAAGTGATAGTAACCTGACCTAATATCAATCTTTGAGAACACCTTAGCTCCTCAGAACTGATCAAACAAGTCATTGATCCTCAGTAAAGGATACCAATTCTTGATTCTCAACCTGTTCAACTGACGGTAATCAATGCACATGCACATCATACCATCTTTCTTCTTCATAAAAAGTACTTAAGCACCCCACGGTGAAATACTCAGATGAATGAACTCATAATCAAGCAACTTATATAAATGCGTCTTCAAATCCTTAGGAGCCATACGATAGAGAGCAATAGACATAGGAGCTAAATCAGTTTAAGTTTCAATGTGAAACTCTATCTTATGATCCGATTGAAACCCTAAAAATTCTTCAAAAATACATTTTAAAAATTCTTACCCGTCTGAAGATCCTGAACACGCAACTTATTTCCCTTCTGATTGTTGATATACGCCAATTAAGAATTATAACCACAATCCAAAATCTTACTTGCATCTAATGTTGAAACAACGTTAGAAAGGAAATCAGGTCTCTCCCTAACAATCAACAACTCAACCCCATCAAACATCTTAAATATAGCACTACATGTACTCAATGTTCAAGAAGCTAATCCAACCCCAAGATAACATCAAAACTATGAAACGACAACTCCATTAGATCTGTTAGAAACACCTCACCTTGCAATGGACACCTCTGGTACACTGACTACACTAATGCACTTTCACCCAAGACTCTCTTATCCACCATACCGACATCACTAATATTAACTCATATTCTTAATTGATCCACTAAATGACTAAGAATATACGAATGCCTGGAACCAGAGTCAATCAGTGCAATTAAACGAAAAGGCTCTAAATAAAATGTACTTGTGATCACATCAGTAAAGGCACGATCATACGGCTCTCATATGGCAAAAACTCATTCAGGCTCACTACCTCCACTAGGAGTACCACATCCATGGGACTGACCCTGCTGACCAGCACCACCAGATCTAGCACTTCCACAATCTGATGGGGATGCAACAACTCTATACTTAGCCTGCTGCGGACAATCTCGAATCTTATAACAAACCACTTCACAAT